AGGCTTCACCAAGCCCCAGCTGCTCATCTGGAGCACAGGGCAGCTCGGGCAGGGTCTCATCCCTGCCCAAACTGCCGTTGGACTGGGAGCTCACCTGGCAAAGCACCACCTCCTTCCCCGGCCGAAGCCCCTCTCCCTGAGCGCAGCTCTAGCCGACGGACACATCCGTGCCGCGCTGCAGCTGTGCCAAGGAGGCAGGGCAGCGGGATACTGCGGGATCCGGCAGATGATGTGCTGGAACAGGCCGGTGTGCAGAGAAGCAAAGGAGCTGCTCCCCAGCTCACCCCTGACTAATGGCACGTTGCAGTTGTGTTTTTCCTTCTGCAAGAGAAACTCCCTGGTCTGGCAGCACAGATCGCAAGCACCCAAGGCTGCCGGCGCTCCCCTGGGGTGGGTTAAATGAATGTCGATCAGCGGAACTCATCCCTGCGTGGGGCACCCCAGGAACCATGGGGGTTGTACAGCCTCTCTAGCAGCAACCCAAGGCCAGGCTGGGCAGAGAATGGATCGGGATCAGCCCTGAGGCGAAGGACGTGGGAGTACTGGTGGGTGAAAAGCTGGACAGGAGCCAGCCGTGTGCGCGGGCAGCCCAGAAAGCCAACCGTATCCTGGGCTGTATCCAGAGCAGCGTGGCCAGCAGGGAGAGGGAGGGGATTCTGCCCCTCTGCTCTGCTCTCATGCGACCCCCCCTTCAGTTCTGCGTCCAGCTCTGGGGCCCTCAACATCAGGAGGGTATCGACTGGTTGGATCCTGCATCCTTGGAGACAGCACTCACTTGAACAAGACCCTGAGCAACACCCTCGGCCTCCGAGGTAGCCCTGCTGGGGACAGGGGGAGGACCAGAGACTCAGGAGGTGCCCCCATCCCTTTCTGCAATCCCGTCAGCTCAGTGTTTGCGACAGCAGAGCCACCACCAAGCTTGCCCAAGGGCGAGCACAGCGCCGCTCTTATGCAAAGGAGCGGAGCCAGCAGCATCGCAAAGCCAGTACCTGCACGCTTCCTCTGCTGCATCGCGCAGCTCGCCGGCTGGGAGACGATAAAGGACTTTCCAGAGGCTAATGAGACAGTTAGTGCCTATCTGTGCTGATAACTGCGTTTCACAATTAGGAACTTACTTAATTGCTGTCAGAACTGCTTCAGAAACCATCAAAGAGGGTGGTTTTGAGAGACGTTTTGTCTCTTGAACGTTCACTTTCCCCGGAGACCGTGACCCTGCTCCCAGATAACGGTGCAAGGGACCACGTGTCTGGGCGAGCGCTTCTGTCGAGCATCAAGCGCCAAGCCCTCGTGCTCACCTTCAGCAGCAAAGGAGGGACCACCGACTGCGCCTCTGGAGTGAGGACCCGCGCGACGATGCCAGCGATAGCGCCTCAGAGCAGAGATGTGCCACCAGCCCCCGGCACTGAAAGGCAGAGGGTGCAAAGCAAAACATCTGGATTACTTGGCATTTCACCTTGTCGCCTTCTGCGTCCGGCTACCAAAGCCCGAAGGTCTCAAACCCTGTCTCAAGAAGACGTCTCAGTTTGGCTGTGAAGCCTGCCTGGTGTTGGGGAACCAACTGAATCAGGGTGACTCTGCTCAAGGATGAAAAGTCGGCCAGGAGGCAGCCCAGCACGCGCCTGGGGAGCGGAGACAACGCACACCTTCTGCGACAAGGGCTCCGCCGGGGAGGGAGGAGGGAAGCATCCTGCGGGCGCCGGCTGCGGACAATGGCAACGGGCAGACCCCAAACCATCACAGCCCCTGCTTTTCTTGCTAAGGGTTTAGCTCATCCCCTGATGAGCTGATAAACGCGATGGCAGTTTCTTTCAAAAGAACTTAAGTCTTTTAGGAAACTCCAGCTGCTAAATTCAGTTAGAACGGCAACCAACTTCCTCCGCAGCAGGGCAAGCTGAGCAGAAGTTACTGCCGATGACTTCCATCGCTCAAGTCTCCTTCAGAAGCCACGGAAGCTCCTGCCAGCAGTCACAGCTGCAGTGACTTCGTTACTTCAACACTTTCAATCCCTCCTCGCCCCGACTCCCGCCCGCCGCAGCACACAGCGGTTCCCTGCAGTATCAACATCCTCCCAAAACGTTTCTAAGGTGCAGCAGGTCCCCGCTGAGTCCCTCCTCTCGGGGGAAGCCTGCAAAATCCCCAGAGAAGCCCACAGTGACTTCTGCCACCTCGGCTGGATTCCCAGAGGACCGAGGTCAGAACCGCCACTCCACACAACTGACCCAACACCTACGCGCCCGCAGCCTCGGCCGAGCCCCACGTAACGCCACACGTCGCCGTTCCGAGTGCTCACGTTGCCGGGGATGGGGCTATGAGGCATCAACTACTCAGCCAGTTACACGAGCAAGGAACAGAGCCAAGACCTGTGGGTCTGACCTCAGAGATTCTGGGGTTTCCTTATTATTCCCCTCTTTCACTCAAAAGTATATTGAAAAATGTAAGGAATATCATCCGGGTGAACTGTTCCAGCTGGATGAGATGGACAAACCACCTTTTCCTGCTCCCTCCTTGGGGTCAGATGACACAGACAGCAGCTTTGCTCAGTTCCAGACATCTTCTGGGCAAACAGGCAGAAAAACTGCAACTCCAAGCAACACTAGAGGGAAGCTCAGCCTGTCTCCAGCATCTCTATCCCTCTCCTGTCGGATCAGAGACGACGGAGAGTTGAGGTCCTGCAGAACCGAGCAGCCCCACACAGGGTGGGATATTGAGTAGCCAAAAACTTGCATGTCTGCTGGGGTGGAAACATAAAAATCGCACCAATAACAGTGGCATTTTTGATAACGCACATTTTCACTGGGACAGGTTGCCCAGAGAAGCTGTGGATGCCCCAACCCTGGAAGTGTCCAAGGCCAGGCTGGATGAGGCTTGGAGCAACCTGGTCTAGTGGAAGGTGTCCCTGCCCATGGCAGGGGGGTGGAACGAGATGGGCTTTAAGGTCCCTTCCAACCCAAACCATTCTGTGATTTAGAGCTTTGCATAGGGCAGCAGTGTCCAGCACAACCCCAAACTGGGAGACACAGAGGTAGCAAAGGCTCTTCTCCAGACACAGCCCTGATTCAGGGCTAGCAGAAGGTTGATCTCTCGGGTAAGAAATATGGGAAAAGATCCTTAAAACCACCTCTGAGAGCTGCTGGCAGTGCTTCCTGCCGGCTGGACAGGACCAGCCGCTGCTGGCACAAGATGTGCCTGGACTCCCTGGAAGTTGCAGTCTTCCTAAATCTCTGATGCAAGTGGATTGTGGATTCCACCCACAAGACTGTTGCGGTGGGGCTGGTCTCTGTTGGGGCCATTCGTTCTGTCGAAGCAGGTTATCGTCACAGTCCGTCACCCGAGCATGGCAGTGGCCGCATCAGAAGGCACAGTAACTGCAGAGCTGGTCCATCCCAGGCAACCTGTCCTGTCAGTAAAGCAGGAAACGAGGCCAGCACCTGCCAGGGATATGCTCATCTCCACAGGTACGTGCTCCCCGCCTGGCTGTGGAGGAGCCGATTAAAACAACGGAAAACATCAAAGCATCTGAAACATAAAATTAAAAGCTGTGCTTCTAACAAAACCCATCACCGAGCGCTGAAGTTTTGCTCTATTCTAAAAAATAGATCACAGGGGAATGAAACCCTGGGGTCTGGGCGCAGCCACCACACGTGACGCTGCTTTCACTGCTCTGCTGCATCGACGCAGGGAAGCGCGAGTTGGCTGCGTGGCCCGGGGGATCCTGGCAGCCCAGTGACCCTCCCTGCCAGCCCGTGAGCCCTCTGCAGAAGGTATTACCTATCAGGGCTGCTTCAGCCCCTGCCATTCGCCGCACATCCAGGGGCACCCACATCCAGGGAACACTGAAGAGCAGAGAACAGAACTGCGGGAACGAATCCGGCTGTGCAGGTACCCCAGGCTCGGGGGCACCCACAGCGAAGGGGTGCAGCGCCCACATCTGGGGACTAGTGCTGCATGAAGCCACCCAGGCAGCGCAGCAGGCCCACGAGCGTGTCCAGCGGAGGGCTGGACATGGTCCAGCTGCGCTCAGGCACTGTGTGACGCCGTGTAACCGCACCTCGGGCTTTTCCCTCCAGGATTACGGCTCTGAAACAGGAGAGGCCAAAGCTTTCCACTCCCAAAGAACGCAGCTCTCACCATGACCATGGGAAGGGCAGTGTCCTCCGCGGAGCATCCTCAAGCTGCAAGTGATTGGTATCATTATCTGCTCTGCCCACCCCAGAAGAAGGATCAGTGAATCTTTAGCTTTTTTAAGGAAAATGTATTTTTGTGAAAATAGACTTTATTATAATAAAATTTGATATTAAATAAAAACATACCGTATCACCAACACTCGTGGCCACTGTGCTGGCATCATTCACATACCTCACATAACTGTCCTTCTCAAAACAAGTACCCCACTGAAACATGCAAAGAAAGAAACACTGAAAAGGATAGAAACCATGTAGTACAAAACTCTCCGTGGCTTAGAAAGGGATGTGTCTTAACTCAAGGAACACATCATCTCATATGAAAATAGCTGCAAACTCTCCATCCCCAGTTCTGCTCTCCAAATGCTCCAACTCAGGAGCAGCCCACTGCAACAGCCAAATAAAACTGTGGAAGAGGCAGATGAAAAACAAACAAACAAACAAGATAAATAAATAAATAGATAAATAAGGCGGAGTCCCCAGCCAGCGCGTGGTCAAGGTGAACCAGCCAAGAGCAGCTTCCAGCAGCCCACGCTACAGGCAGAAGTAGCGACCCCCTTTAGGGTATCGCTCCTTCCCCCACGG